ACTAGAGTGTGCACATAGGCGCGGCGCAGCATATTATAGCCGCCAGATACAGCATTCGATCCCGTAGCAGTTACGGTTGATCGCAGTTACAGTACATGACATGATAGTTCAGTTATATATATGCTCTAGATCATGATATTGCAATTATTATTAATGTTTACATTAGTATGGGTTTCCACGGAGCACAGTGCCTTAGTGCTCATTCCCCAGTTTTATCATGTTTTTCAGGAATAGCGTCGGACGAGAGGAGTGAGCTGGTTTGTGGATCGTGGTCAGAGATATGGCTAGCAGCCATTGTACATTATTGTACAGCTATGTTGCCACGTATGACTTCCGCTGTCACTTTACGATATTTCAACTAGCATGTCAGTTTTTGTTTTTAAACTGGTTTATCAGACAAATTTTTATAAAGTATTACATGCCAGTTGATCTAAATTAATCCGTTTATTCTTCAAAGTTAAGTTTCAATAAAGATAACGGATTCTCAAAGCAATGAATGGTTTTTAGTAGCATCCCGAAAAGGATTTCGCAAATAAATATGTATTATTAAGAAAAGTTTTAAGAAAAATGCACTCTGATATTTAAGGAAAAGCGGGGTGTTACAACATCTCTGAATGCTTGACCCGAAAATGACCACTCCCTATAAAGTTTCTCACACCTCTCAAATGCTCTACATTAAAAACATAAAATATGCACATTATCACTCAATTCAATCTCTTCAAACATCATATCATATTTTTGTTATCCCACATTTCTAATATCTTCAATGAATTCTAATTTTGGCAATTCGTCATCTTCCTCAATTGATGATGAGGATAATTATATGCTAATTATGAATGCTCTTCGTCAAAAGCAAAAAGTGATAACTCATTTTATTTCTAATAACAACATGATCGTTCAACATCTTCTCCAACAACAAAACCACCAAGCCTCCCATGGGGGTTTTGTTCCTCGACAAATTTTTATTAATCGTGATCGAGAGGCTGTTGATCGAAGGTTGTATAATGACTATTTTCTTATAAACCATTATATAATGAGAACATGTTTCGTAGAAGATACTGAATCTCTTGCTCATTGTTCCTTCAAATTGTCAATGCAATCAAAGATCATGATAATTATTTCCATCAACAAGTGGATCGAGCTGCAAGATATAAAAAAGACTGTTGTCTTTCATATATTGGCATAAGGTGCTCCAGCATATGCTACAGACGAGGATGTCAAAATTGGTGACTCCACTGCAATCGAAAGTATGAAAAGGTTTTATCAAGCGATAGTTGAGTTATTTAAAGAGTATCACTGAGTTATCTAGAGAGCGATATCTGCAGAGGCCCACATCATATGATATTTCTAGAAATTTATACATTGTTTAGCAACGTGGTTTTCTATGAATGTTGGGGATTGAAAAAATGCCCTAGAGTGTGAGTTGAGAAATATGCTAGTTGTAGTAGAATGTTTACAATCAATCTTGAAGTTGTAGCAAATTATGATCTATTTGTATGATATGCTTATTTTGGTTTGTCGGGCTCTAACAATGATATCAACGTTCTAGAATTATTTTATCTTTTCTCAAATCTAGCCAGAGGCATTGCCCCTCAAGGTTATTATATAATTCAAGGAAAAAAATTCAACATAGGTTATTACTTAGCTGATAGCATATATCCAAAATGGTCTACCATTGTGCAAACAATTCATGAACCTTGTGGTCCGAAGGAAAGATATTTTGCAATGAAGCAAAACTTCCCTTCAACTTATTTTGCTTGCTTAACAAAGAATTTTTTAGAAAACACTTAGCTCTGTCGGACGATGCCAAACCAATAATTTTACGAGTTGAAAAGTAGAATTGAACATGTTGTACCACAAATACCTGAACCGCTGAACCGCTCCCCTCCGAACCGAATTGCTTCTCCTCGATCGCCAGTACCTGCAAAACACGCCGGGGATGGTCCCGGCACGAACACTCTGACGCTCAAGTCAGTGGTGGTCCAAAAAGAAAATGACAGAGTGACAAGAGAATTTGTACGTGTGGTGTTGTGTAAAATAAATGAACTTGCTCCTTTTATAGGAGAAGTTTGGAGACTTTTCATAAGACAAGAAGTCTTTTTTGATGTCTATCTCTAAATTGGATTAGATACATTGTCTCTAGAATCCTTATTGCTACTAGCTTCTTCGTAACTTGATCACTAAGCCACCCTCAAGTTTCCTCGACGGAACCCCCTCCCCCCC